CATCAGCACTGCTTAACTCCCTAAAGTACAGTAGTTGATCTGATCAAAATAAACTTCTCGAATCAAAAGAGAAAGGTTCCTCCCCCTCCTGTTGTTCCTTGTCCCACTGTCAAGCAACTGGACATAAACTTAACAGAAAACCTTAAGTACAAAAAAAAAAAAAAAAAAAAAAGGAAAGAAAAATGACAACCCTAATCAAAAAGCACACCTAAAACATGTGAGAGGTTTAGAAATGGTTTGTTTTTTAAATACCTTTAATATCAAGCACCAGTCGTTCACTGAGGTATGAACTGATGGTTCCGTCCTCCTTGAATCTCCACTTTTGTCTGTCCTTCCCATGCTCTGCCCAGAGGGCAACTTTGGCCCCAGGCACATCTCTGCCACCAATGACATCCAGACAGGCATTGTTGGCCTAAGGAACAAGAAGAGAGGTGAGATCCAGGCCACAAAGCCTCAGTTTTGCGCCTGATTTGTTTCAGGCACTGAGCATATGTCAGGAAATCGTGCTGGAGTGATAAGAAGCCTGACAAGCAAGAGAGGAGCAGATTATGCAGCAACTGATCAGCTGCTTGGTCAAAGGCGGAGTCTCTGCTACTTCAGGCTTTTGTGTTATCAGCTTTTTATGTTAAATTATCAGCTTTTTTTATACCAATAACAGTTATCAAGGGCAGCATTAATAGAAAATCAATTCATTCTCACATTACTTTTCAGATAAGTTCTTAACTATTCAAAGTTTTAAACTTAAACTTGTGACTTTGGACAAAACCAGGTTTCTACTTCCAGGAACATCAGTCCCCTTAGATAGATGTGAGAAGTAGCCCAACTTGCCCAAGCAGACAGAGCAAAGTGACCTATCCATAGTAAGTAAGAGGATGTAGGTTATTTTTAAGAGTTTTGGTTTTAAGAGAGAACAAAGCCATCTGGGTGTTAGGGGGGCCTAGAGTAAAAGCAAGAAGTGAAGGTCAGAGGAGAGCAGGGATACAATCCACCCACTTCCAGCACCTGGAAACTCACCCTGGACTTGAAGAGCCCTCGGCAGTAGTGCCAGACCTGGGTGTTCCTGCCGTTGTAGGGGGATGCACACACTGACGTTGCTCTGACGTCTGCCAGGCTCCCAGCCACAGTCAGGTACCGACCCTGGGCTCGGTTCCTCACCCTCAGGTACACTGCAGGCTGGGAGGGTGTGAGGGGAGAGTTACAACACAAGATTACCACAGCTGATGTGAGAGAGCCTCCCCTCCACCTCACATCAGTTTTCGAAACATTATGTCCAATTTCCAGTATCAGAAAGGGATTCTTTTTTCTGTTAGAAAGAAATACGCATGTGAAGCAACAGCAAGTGGCTTTCACAGCTCTAAGCAGCAATGGCAGATGGTTTTTCTTTAAAAAAAATGTATTTATGGCTATAGACCTAATTTCTGGGATATGCAAACATGTCTAGTTCAGTGCATTTCAGTCACTCCAAGGCCAGGCAGTGGGCTGAACTCCACAGGCTTTTTATTCTTATGACACAAAACTACCGAGTTTGGTATCCAGTAACTTCAACCCCCATTAACTGGAGTATACGGCAGAGATAAACCACTTTTGAACAAACATTCTGCTTTGGAACATACACAAAAAACAGGGTACTGGCTCAGCATCCCTGTTTACTCAAAAAATAAGAGGATTTTGTAGGGCTGTTACAGGGTTTGAGCTTTTGCTCTGTCATTCCCTGATTTCAGTGCAAATAAAGAGCAGAGAGTTATAAAGGGCAGCTCTGCTGGAACCCCAACTCAAACATAGTTTTTCTTCTGGGAACTTTGAATCCCCTTTTTTCCATATTAAAACAAGCAGGCAATAAAGCCTCTCTCCCACCACGCATCCATAAACATAATGTGCATCAGTACAGTGTATAGTTATTCCTTACAAGGAATTATGAAGTCTCTGAGCAAAGCCTGTCTCATTTTGCAAGGCTGGGCAGTGACAACACCTGTTTTGACTGGTCTGGAGCTTCTGTGTGTCACTGATGACCTGCTGGGCCTTGGAAAGGCAGAGAAGCACAATTCTACCTCCTCCTCCTTGATTCAGGGACATTTATCTCAGTTTTGCTTCTCCATCTACCTTTTGCAAAGCTCCTAAGAATGTTGTGGTTTTGAGACCTGAGCCTTCGAATGAGATGGAAACTGGCATTACTTGGAGTGAGGCAGAGAGGGAAAACCTGGTGGGACTGCATGAAGTTTGCCTGTTTTGGAAATCCAGGCTAGAGAACAATAAAATTTGCTCTTGTTTCCATTTATGTTAATTATGAAATGTGGAATTGGTTTTCTCATTGTATTGTTATATGGCAAAAGTGTAAAAATAGAGCATCTCCAGAACATGCTAATGAGCAATTCAGAAAAACAAAACTTGGCTTCAAGAAATGAGGAATTATTTCCCTTTAGGAGCTGAACATAGATCTCAATAACTGCCACGAGTGGAATTTTCTGCTTCAGTAATCTTCCAGCAGGTCCTTCCGGCTGTCACCATTTGGCCTGATTTAAGGAGTGCAACACACACCACTGTACTTGCTGCTAGAGCTGACACTTGGGCACTAAATCCCTGTCCAAAAAAAAACCCCCTGTCCTCAAACAGTCTTACAGTACCTGCTTCATGGGACGAAGGGAGCCAATTACTTTCCAGCCACTGTGTTCATTCCAGTTTGAAATCTCACTGGGCTCCAGCAGAATCTGCCTTCCTAAAAAATTACATCCCTCGTACGCAATCCACCTGGATACAGAGAATAGAACGTGAAGGACCTCGTGTTAACCGCAGCAAACCCAAACTGCCGGTCACGGCTGTGCTCCTGAAAACCCCAAACCTCTCCACAGTGGTGCTCATGTCAAACCTCTATTTCTGTGCTGCAGAATGCCACCCACGTCAGTGGTTTGACTGCCTTCTGTTGACACAGATGTGTTTTCTGTTTGTCCGCCTGAAACCTGTAAACTCCACTCCTTGTCTCCCTGCTCTTCCCCCCATTTTTTTTCTCAACAAATAGGAGAACTCAGGTGGGAATAATGCCGGTTTCAGCAGGCAGAAGAAACTAGGAAGCCACACAGCAGGTGCAGCTTTGCCTGGTTGTACATATTAATTATGAGAGGATCTTGTCCTGTGTTTTCATTACTGTTAAGGCTTTTTATAGCTATTCCACCTGTCTGAAAACACAAAGTGTTTACTCCAAAACCTACACCCTGCTGTAGCAGACTTTCCTGTAATGAATATATCTGAGCTGTGGGCATGACTGAATCCCTCACCACTGGCACATACAGACCCCTTGTTATCTGGGCATCTGCTCAGTAAATGCTGCTTACAAAGGGCAGCTTCAGGATCACAGATCCCTTCTGTTAGTATCAATAGCACATTGTTGTGTGGACAGAGATCCTAAATGCCTGACTCGTTAACTCCTCCAGACACGAAGCAAACACTGGTTTCCCCGGTTACCTGTTTCGCAGGTCAGCTGCCAAGATCACGAGGGGTGGGTGAGCTGTAAGTCAGTGAGAAAACATCCACAGCACTCACAGCACCTGGAATTTGCTTTTCCTGTGGCACCTAACTTGGAGGAAATTGACAGCCAGCCTTGCTTAGGGCTCCATGTGAACTGCCTTGCAATGAGGCTGTATCTCTGTTTCCTCAAATAAAGTCCCATCCCTCCTGACTAACAGGTATCCAGAGCAGCTTGACCACCACTCTGTGTTCTTTATCCTTCTGACTTTTTTCCTTGCAATGCTTTCTGTCAGGTCACTCAGAATTCATTTGTTAGCATTGCTCTTGGAGCACAGGACAGTCTCAGTTGGAATGCAGTTTCACAGTAGATATTTATAGGAAACAGAGAGGGGAGAGACTGTCACAGTGATCACCAGATGAAGCCAGGTCGGGCTTTTGGCCCTCAGCAACCCAGACAGAACTCACCTCGGCTCTCACCAGGCTGTGCCTCCTGTCCCCCATCTCAGAGTACCTCAGCAGCCAGCCCCCTTTGGCAAGCCACAGCCCGGGCTTGTGCCATTGCTGAGGTGGCCAGTAAATCTTTGTTATTTGTCTAAAATTGACAGCAGGCTTTGGGACAAGGAGCTAAAAACCCTCCGAATCCGCCTTCCTGAGCTCTCGATCACAGATAAGGCAAACAAACCCACAGACTTCCCATGATAACCTGACACCTTTAGGCTACCTATCTGCCGTGTGGGATGGGGACAGGCTGGGGGGGTCTGTTTCCTAGGGAGCATCACAAACAACTCAGAGGAAGCCCAGCCACTCTGCCCCGACCGTTCTTCCCAAAGACAGGAAAGGAGCTGACCTGGCTTGGATGCACAATAAAGATGCAGGAGGGGCTGGAGTGCTGCACTCACTCTCCTATGCTTTCTTGCTATGTGGTCCTAAAGCCATCACCCTTCCTTTACAGCCAATTGCATGGGCAAAGGGATTTAATATCCCAGTTCCACACCCCCGATGAGAGGGCAGAGAAAGCTCATAAAGAGATGTTTCCCAGCAGGACGAACTTTAGACCTCAACACCTCCACAGAAGAATGGAGATCTACAGACTCCCACCAGAAATAAGTCAGATGTTCCTCCCAGAGAAGGCCTTTCCTCTTCCAGATTAACACAGACCACAGAATGTGTGCAGTTCTCAGCCAAACAGCAGCTGTTTGCCACCCTCATCTAGGGCACCTCAAGACAACAGCAGCAGATCATCACTCTACATTCCCAGCAAGGTTTCAGGATGGAAGTGGCACAGATGTTAGGGACTAGAACTCATAGTGAACTGGCAAAGCTCTGGGGGGAAGCTAATATTCACTATTCTCTCAAGAAAATTACAGCCTTGTCTGTGTGAAGAAGGTGGGGAAAGGTCAAACATAAACATGGGAAATGTGTGTCACATTAGAGGAAGCAGTTACCAGCCAGTCTCAGTCACAGGATGAGACTCTGCAAATTGTTTGTGGCTGCTATGGATGTGGAGGCTGAAAACCTGGTCAGAGACAGAACACTTGGGAGGTTTTCCAGAAGGGAAAAGGGCAACATGGGGAAGAGGTCAGAGGGTCACTCCTGCAGATGTAAAATGGTTTTCACAGAAGAGCCTGGGTGTGTGTTCACACTCAGGGAGGAGGGCTAAACTAATAACAGAAGCAAATTACTGCTCCAGCTGTCAGATCCACCCTGAGCTTCTCCCAGACGCTGCTGTCTCTTTGGCAGCCAGTCAGCACATCAAGCTTCACTGAACCACTGCAGTGGTTTAAATCGCTGCAGTTTATAGATGGTATTTTACAGCCAGTTAATAAAGGCAGTTCGAGTTTACACTACCTGTCTTTGTAAGTCAGCAATCAAAACTTACTTTTGGCTCCTGGCTTGAACAACAGGCTCTACTGGTCATATCCCTACTGTATAGAGATAAAAGGATGATTCTTACAAGGGGAAATACACCCTCTGCCCAGAGTTTTTGTTCAATTTTGAGTCTTGATACAAAAAGCGTGCTTGGCATTCAACTGCATTTTAGAATTTTATATTGTCTCAAAATTAAAGTTAGAATGTGAAACATCCTATAAACGGGGTGAGAAAATGCATGTTCAGTAGTGGCCCCTACAGTGCAAAACTGACAGGAATATTTCTTCCATACTTACAGTCCGCTCCTCACCCACACAGACTGAGTGCAGAAATGAAGGTCTTCATTCAGAACAGAGCTGACGGGTTCGCTGAAGTGCAGCTCTCTGCCCTTGCAGCATTCCAGGGTGAAAAGACTGATGGAAGGCTCAGCAAAAACCTGGGGAAAGAGGAAGGAGAGAGAAAAAAAAGTGAAGTTTTAGTAGGAATAGTCTAACTTCAGGCGTCAGACATGATGCCCACGTTTGCCCACTTTGGCTGAATTTCCACGTGCTTTTGGCTCAGATCATGCTCCCTTTAACAAAGAAGGAAAAAAACCCCAAAGCACACGGAGCTGGAACACATTGCATTTACGAGTGGCTTTGTCATCAGAGCGTGGCGACCCCACTGACACATGCCAGGCACAGTGAGTCACTTTGTGATGCAGAGAGGCCTCTGCATCTGAGGAAACTCATTTTGATTTGAATCATCAGGGCCTTAGTTTTTGCTTTGCATAAATCCAGGTTATTTACTTATCGATGGAACGTGCAGATTACACCTAAAGCAGCGATGCAAATCACAAGTACACTGTCCATAGACTTCAATTAGCAGTAGTTCACCGCAAAAATCTTAGCGGGCTACAAACTGCAAGAGGTTAAAAAGGTCAACTAAAAAGTTCTCAATGTTTTAAAGAGGCATTCCTATTTTTCTCCTGACAATCCTGAAGAAAAAGCATAATTACTAAACCCTTCAATCTCATGTAGAATTGAAACATTTTTTGCTAATGTCCTTTTTTACAGTTGACAGATTGCCTATGAAAGCAAATAAAAGGATCAGTCTGCATGAAAATGTGGTACTGCTATAAGATCAGCAGAAAAACAGAGGAAACATTTAAATACACAAAGTCTGTGCCTTAGTGCAAGGAACACTGGCACAATCCTACAGCATTTTTAACCTAAAACCATAAGAGGAATATTGTAACCAACAGCATAAGCACTTGAAGTTTTCATCTTGATGCAGCTGTAAAGGAGAAGGGAACAGGTCTGGGTAACCTCTGATCAGCCTCTCCAGGAAAGTCACCTTGGTTTTAGGAGAGGTTACCCTGAGATAGCTGGCTCAAGCAAAAATTAGGATTTCTCTTGCAGCAAAGACATGGCCTCAGGTGGAATGAACAAAGCAAAATCTTGGATTAAAGTTGACACAGGCACCGAGTAATGAGGAGAAATTAACTTTCATGTTTGAGGAGGCACATGTATTGTAGTGAAGTGCCTCTGAGCTGCTCAGTGGTGATTCAGGACACGCAAATTTACTTGACACTGACTCAGAGCACTTGGTATGTAGCTGTTTGGTCAGAATCTGCCTCAGAGAAGTTGTTTTCCTCCGCCAACCAGTGCACATACAATCTAAGTCATGCAACACCGCAAGGACAAAGAGTTTGCTGAGACATTTTGAAGAAGAGCTTGGGGATCATCCACTCAGAGACATTTTCAAAGCCCACTGCACTCCTAAAACACTAATGTTACAAACCAGAAACAGATTAAAACCTGCAATGCTTTTATTTTGGAAGGTCAGTTCTTTCCAGGTGCCTTCTGCTGGATGGGGTGGGTTAAATTTACAATGTATGACTAAAGGCTTGCTTTGAAATCCAGACCAGCAGATAGGCAGCTATTTCTCAGGTTGCTCTGCTCAGCAGGACAGTATCATCACACTCCTGTTTGCAAGAGTCTTGGCACTGCCTTTCACCCGAGCAGGCACCAGAAATCGTGTCCAGAACAGGTCCAACAGGGCCAATTTTCACAAGGGCATTAGTGACCATGAGAAACACCCTTTGGCAACAACTGTCTTCACTGAGGCTGCTCTTGCCCGGCCACTCCCTTCAGTGTGGGATGGATGCCTGGCTGAGGGACAGGAACACAGTGCTGGACAACAGAACACCCACGGTCCAGTCCCAGCTCCACGAAATGAATCATTGCCTGGCCTGGGAAACCAATTCATTCTTGTATCTGATTTCATTATCTGCCTCACAGGAATGCTAGGAAGATTGGTTAACACCTGTACTTAACTTAGAAAAAGATAATCAATACAGAAATGCAAGAACTGTCAGGATTGATCAGAGCAAGAATAATGAATGCCTCAAAAGAATAGGGCAAAAAAGCAATCTAGCAAAAAAAGCATTGCACAACCTACAGCCTCGATCTCATTTTTGGTTTTAGAAACTGCTTTAACTTAAGGACTGATGTTAACACTTTAGAAGGAAAACTAAGTACCCATTGCAACAATACTGGATATTCTTGTCCACGGAAATCACAGTAAATATGACAGGGAGTTTGACAATACAGCCTGCCTGAGAAAAGGCAGCACTAGAGTTCCCCATTGCAAGAACATAAAAGGGTCTCTATCCCAAAAGATTAACCTCTTCAAGCAACAAACACTGGGCAAATTCCCCAATAAGCAACCATGGCTCTATAAATGGCACAGTTCTTAAATAAATATATTATATATTTATTTATATATATTATAAATATATAAATTCACCCACTCTTTTGCAGCTTCCCTTCCATGAACCCATGAAAATGCAAAAGGCGTGGAAATGCTGATGCAGGCATGGAAACCTGCAGTATTGCAGCCCTATTTTTTCCTCACAGAATATCAAAACCAAAGGACATAATACTCTCACTATCAGTGCACACATATGCTTTGTTCCTACAACTTTTCCTAAACTTTTGCCCTTCCTCCCAGAAGGACAAAACAGATCATTCTAAATTTGAGCAAAATGAAACAGCAGGAAAAAAGAACATCTAGGGCCTCCTAAAGATTTAGTTTGAGTATTACAGTCCTTGGAGAATAAGCATATAACATTCGTTATATTTGTTTGCAAACATTTTGTTTGCATGAAAGCTGCATCCACAGAACAAATTATTCCTTCAAGTCTATTCCTCATCTCTAAATGGTCGATCTATTTTTGGTGAAAAAAAGTCCAGGCTTTCCAGAAGTTCTTTGCTGTTTCATACTGATTAAGGCAGTGCTGTTACCCCAGTCACAAAAATTCCACTGCCACCTTACAGTGCTGTTCCATCAGGTCACAAAATCCCAGCAATGCCATGAAGGAATACTGCAAACATGGAATGTTAATCCTCAAATTCTGCTTCCAAAACAGAGCTCAGAAATCCTGCAGCAGCTGACAACATCTTAAAAAGCCCCTCAAAACAGATTTGCAGTGAAAACTCAAAAAGTTACACTTTACCACTTCGCTCACCTGTACAAAAACCAAGCTAACATATCAATAATTATCACTACAACCTTGCAAATTAGCAAGGGAATACCCAGATCCCATGCCCCTATTTTTCTCAAGCCCATTTTGTTCTCCTATCTCCTATCCAGGTTGATACAATCTACTTCTAAAATGTATAGCTGGCCACACCTACACCACTGAACAGGCTTGGACTGTTGCCAAAGGCTGCTAATGAGCTGGCCTTTGTACTCCTAAAAGCATATTTTTTTCCCCTCTAGCAGTGCCACACATGGACCTCTTCTCCTAGCAAACATCTGGGATGCAGAAGCCTCACACAGAGCAATGCATGGCTCCCCACCACAGTGTGGGAGTCCTTCACAGCCACACTCGCAGCAAATTCATCTCACTGAAAGTGGAGCAGGAGACAATGCACATTTAGGGCTCGGTGTTGGGGTTAAACGTTCTCCCTCTCACACATCAGCGACCAAGAGACACACCTTAGGTCTGGTATTTAAAGCTGAATAATGGAAGGGGTTCCCAGTGCCACAAATGAATTCAAAAAAGCTACACAACAGCCCACTTGGGAATAGCACTGCTTCTCTCTTGAATGAGCTAACAGAAGTATGCTGTACTAAAGAGGGCTCTGTTCCAGGCACTGTTTTGTGGACAATACTCAGAAGGAGCCGCGGCTGTTCCTGTGCACGGACGGAACCCACTGCTCCATGCTCGGCCTCACGTCGGTGCCACGCAAAGCCTGGGAACCCTGACCTGCCTCACCTGCACTCACAGTGACTTAGGGGCCACTGAGGGCACTGCCATTTGTGAAACAGGTGGGGTTCAACAGCATTGTAGGCTGTTTAGTGCCCTGATTTTGTAGAATACGAGGGCTCCTATTTGAGAGAGAGGAACTGAGCTAAGAGGTGCAGGTCTCTCCCAAAGCAGAGGAAGACACGCGTGAGCTTCCCACGCACAGCCTGCCAAACACACTTCTTCCAGGGCCTGGCCCTCAGTAATCAAGGGCTGCTCACTAGGCCAAACTGCATAGTTACTTCCCCAAGAGATTACAGGCTGGGGGATTGGGAAGAGACCTACTATTCCATGTTAAAACTTCACTCTGATTTAGCACAGCAGTGTCCAAAAGCCTAACTTAAAAACCAGGCTCTCAGCAGGTGAGGTGGGAAGCTATAGCTCCACTGAAGTCACTGTATCTGTGTAGTCTAGTGAAAAGTTGAGCTCTCAAGCTCAAATTGTACATCCTTCCCACCATGCCCTTGGCTTTTGGTGGTTGGGTTTGCTTGAGGATTTTTTTTGGTAAATTTTCTTTTGATTGCTTTGTTTGTTTGTTTTGGGTATTTTGTTTTGTTTTTTTTTTCTTTTGTTTTAAAAATCTGTTCAGAAATGAGGAAAAGGACTTCATATGTGAAAAAAACCCACTGAACTGAGTACTCTCTGAAGTCCAGCTTCATGAGAGTTACCCTGAAGGACACATGTCACATAGGCTGAGTTTGTGTTCTGTGATCAGGGAAGGAGAGAGAGTTTTGCAGAAGTTGGTGGCCGTCACTAGAGAGGAGTAGGCGGATAAGCCACTTACTTCATTTTCAAGACTGAAGCTCATGGAGGACCATGGTGGAGCAGAAATCCACCTGCAGGCCGTGGAGGGCCCCACACAAGAGCAGGTGGATGCCCGAAGGAGGTTGTGACCCCATGGGAAGCCCAGGTGAGAGCAGGCTTCTGGCAGGACCTGCGGCCCCGTGGACAGAGGAGCTCACCCTGGAGCAGGTTTTGCTGTATTTTCTCTCCCCTGTCCACTTGAGGAGGGAAAATGATAAAGTGGCCTTGGTGGGCACCTGGTGCCCATCCAGGGTGAACCTGCCACAACATCAGTGAGAAAAATGTTAACCAATGCAACTTGTACAAAACAGAGCAACTCTGAGCCCAGAACACCCAACACCACACACCTACAAGTGACCGTGTGCATGAGTACACGCAGCCCAACTGGTTCCTAACCCAGAAAATCCTGTAAGCCAAGAAAACAAACTTCACTCTTTCCTCTATTTACCACAAGCTCAGACATCTGACTAGAAAAATGTTATTATTTTTTCCCAGTAGAGTCCTTACATATTGAATAGGCTTGAGGGATTTGATTGTAGCAGTCGGGCAGCCACAGGAACTGAGGTCAGCGTAGAGCCCTTCTTCCAGCACACAGTGATTGTCAGTGATTTCCCCTTCGTAACACAGGAGCCAACTGCAAGAATAAGGAAACAAAAATGATAAGCGGCTCTAGCTGTGTATTAATAGCAAGTTTTTTTCAAGACTTAAGATGTGCTAAGGACACAAGGAATAAAAAATTTCTCTGTTCTTGTGAAGCTTCAAAGTAAGGTGACTTCAAAGGCTATGCTATGAACTAACCCAAAGCAGCAAGATCAAATCATGTGGTACAGAAACCTCAGTTCCGGAGTCAAACAATGCAAGTGGAATGCAGACACTTCTACTGTACCAAATTCTCAAAATCTGGAATAAATTCTAATTGGAGTTAAAAAAAAGAATCACAGTAACTGTGAAAACTTCCCATACCGGATAGCAAAATGCATACTACCCGAACCAAGGACAGGATGAGAGTTACTGAGATGCATTGCAAGACAAAGGGTCTAAGACACGATGGAATGTGATGGGCATGTGTTATGTGTTTTCAGTTGCCTGAAATTTAGTAGGATTTAAAAAAAAAAAAGTTCCTATCACTGAAAATGGTGGCATGTAAAACAACAGACTTACCATCCCCGAAGAACCTTAAAAGAACATGGTATGAATGATGTAAAATCAGAAACTTCTGCTGTGAAATCTATACATGCTCCTTGGAAATGTGTATTACTGAAAGCTTTGAGCTACAAGAACAAAACAAAACAAAAACAATGACTAGAAGGAAAATGAAGGCATTATCATTAATGTAAACAGAGAAAGCTGTACTCTCACAGAAGTATCCATTCAATTCATAAAGATACAACAAACAGAATGACTTCTCAGTTAAGGAATCTTTTACATTTCTACAGCTGCTTTATTTTAGAAAGATCAAGTAATTTATCATCTGTGGGACTGGCACAGGATGGTCCCCAGTGATGCTAGGGCACGCAGTGTTATCAAGTGTTCCAAGTTCCACTGCAGCAGGAGAGGGCCCAGCAAAAAGAGAAGGGGAGGACTGAAGGCTGTTCTCATCCACATGAAGGACCCCTGAACTGCAGTTAAATCCCACTACAGCTCAGCAATCCAGTGTTCAAAACAGAATGGGGAAGCAATGGTCAAAAGACACAGATCTGCTGCTGACAAAGTGCCTTGAAATCTCCTGAGACCACAGTGATAGCAGGCAGTTTTTAGTTTCAGAATTTCTGACGGAACTGGGAACTCATAAAAACAGCTTAGGTGAACTTCAGATGCCATGGTGAAGAACTGCAAGTCACACTGGACCACTCCCCACCAGTAAGATGTGTTCAATTCACCCTGAAAAGCAATAAGGCTGAAAGTGCTGCAGTAAAAGAAAAGAGAAAGATAGAAACAAAACAGAAAAAAACCCAGTAAGACACAGGCTGTGATCTACAGCAAAATCACCCAGAATTCTGTACCCTTGGGCTGCCACTGTGTAACTGAGATGAATTTCACTTTAAAGACTGAAAAGAGAGGCTGGAAAAGAATGAAAAACTTAACTGTATCAAGAGAATAGCTCATATTCTGTAATGGAAGAAAAACATGATGGCTGTTGCAAGAGCTACTTCCCCCTTCATGCCCCAAATTGGCCAAGCTTCCTGCCAAAGAAAAGAAATCAAATGCTTTTGCCAGTCCAGATTGAGAAAGGCCAAACACAAAGCAAGTGATTTTATGGAAAAGCTCAGTCTATGTTTTTAAAACAAATGAATGTGTTTCCTGTTAGAAAGAACAAGAAAGGCTTAACCTGGCCTTTACATGCTGTAACTGCTAACTGGAGAACACAGATCAGCTACAGTACAGTGAATAAAGTGTAACTGATTTTTCTGTGAACACAATCACACTGCTATGTCACAAAACGTCTGTTTAAGCTGTAATTACATAGTATTTTCCACCCACTCATCTAAAAGCTCTTTACAGAAAGGAATAGATATATATATATACACACATAGGCCACATGCTATGCAAGGCTTTTAGAAAAGATCCACAACTCAGTTTAATACAGAATGTATCTAATAATGAATGATGGTCTGGGGTGAACTAGTGATTCCTCAGAGAAAACACTGAGCATCTGCAATTAGTCTCAGAGTGCAGCAATCTCTGGTTTGTCAAGGTTTGACAATATCATATGAGGTTTCACTTCCTAAAAGTTCAACAGACAGCACAGTAAAACACAAACATAAGGTATCATAGCAATTATCTCTGTTTTCTGAATCATCTGTACAAGTCAGCTGCTATGGAAAGAGGTTTTGTTCTTGCCGGATAAAACCAAGCTTTATTTTAATAAATAAAAGGAATGGCTTTGTTGAGTCAGTGATTTCAGACACTCGATGTCCACGGTTTATAAGGGAGCCTGGTAGGAGGAAAAGGTCAGGAGAGTTGCTGAGGGATTTTAGAAATTTAGTTGCTTTTCAGTTTCTGATGAGCAACTAAAAACAGAAGTGAAAAGAAGACACACTGTTGTAGACAGTGAAAACGGTTCACTTAGCTCAGATACATGTTATTAAAAGTGGGAGAAAGGATAATAATTCGAAATAAGCAATATATGGCTTATACAAGGCTCAAACATCAGGATGTTTAAGGACCTGCCAGCTCCTATGCACCATGCTTTGAAGTTCCAAACCACAAGACTGGTGCGCCCATGGAAGCTTTTATTTTACTCTGAATGGGAAATTCTTCATATTTATCCAAAAGACTGTCCTTTACCTAAGTGATTAAATGTTTTCCCATAAAAACTCACTCAAAATATTTCCCCTCCTATAAGAGCTGTAGGGATAGGAATGATGTTCTTCCTTCCTCAGCTTTGGGGCGGAATCCTGGGAGAACCAGGATTGTGATAAATCAGGATAGTAATTGTTTTACAAATGGCCTTAGGACTGTTATTAGAGAACACAAGAGGTAAAACATGATCTAGTACAAGTCAGTATTTAAAGGTGACTGTGTATACATACACACAGATTTTTTTCATGTTTCTGGGAAATAGAAAGACCATAAAGCACCATTTATTAAAACTTCAAAGGCTTGAATTGATCTTTAAGGTCTGCAAAACTGGAGTAATGCACTCAAAGAACAGTTTTTGTGAGATCCTGAAAAAAACAGAAGAGTTGAAGACGGAAATAAAATTGTCTTCAACTGTTTGGACCTCTCTGGTTTCACTAGAGTTGGTTATTTTATCTGGTATCATTTACCAAGGCCTTACTGTGAACATCCTTGCAAGTCTTTGGATTTGGCTGCAAACTGCCATGTGAATAGGTCTGGCAGGAAGTTAGTGTTTAAGACTAAAATAATGCACCAATTATGTCTTCAGACAGGAAACATTTCCTGTAGTCTTGGGTTAATCATAAAATCATAGAACTAGGATACTTGGGGGAAAAGGAGGGTGTGGTCCACCTGCTAAACAACACAGTGTATCTTATTTCCCATGCAAGGGAGAAAGAGCAAAATTGTGTCCAGATGACAAAACACTTCGAGTTTGTTGAAACAGAATCACTGAGCTTTAAAGTCTCTTTTGTCTGAAAAAATCATGTCATGTTTCTTGCAATAAAGTTTTCAGAATTGTCTTAATTAAAAGCACGTCACAGGGAGAGCAATGCAGCCCCTCCGACCATCACCCACACCAGCAGTGCTCTCCAGGACAGAAAAAGACAAACCAAACAACTAATGCTGGAAGAGAGGAGAGCCCTGCTGGGACAGAACATTGCGGGGGACACAGACCCCGGGTGGTGATGAGCACAGAGTAGGGTTTGGTTTTTAGAAAGATAACACAAAGGTCCGTTAATGGAACGTAACCTCATAAGATAAGGCCCAAAAGCATAAAACCCCAAACTAAGTCATTCTTGAGTGAGTTATAGGGACCACTTTCTCATTGTAAGTTACCACCAAGTCAGATGCAACTTTCAGAGAAATTGTCAGAATGTATCATAGAAGAGATTTAACCTGCTCCTTAAAGAGACTACGAAAAGAAGAGCTACCAGCACTCAAGACTAAAAAAACGAACTTCTTCTGTTGATGCATCTGCAGGTTTGGAAAGCACAGTTCCATTTCCTGCAGTTTATATTTTCCTCCTCACCAAGTCTGTGGACACAGCAGCGACAAACCAATACAATGCAAAATAATGGAACAAAAATCTGCCACGAAGAGAAGGACGAGTGAATGTGATGGAGAGTTTCCAGGAACAGGAAGGCAGGCAGAGGAAGATAAATAGCTATAGAGACCCAAAGTCAGTCAAAACCTATTGGACTGCTTGCATTTTTGAAGACAGAATACTAAAGGATACAATCTGGAATAAAGCAAAGAGTAGAACATTAGCAAACTTAACCTTTATACATCTACCACTTTCATCCATCAGCAATCTGCTGTATGAAATGATAATACTGAGGTATCATTTGAAGTAACTGAGATGTCATCTGAAGCAAGACATGCAACATTGCCTGTATTTAATTATTAAAGGTAGTTTAGCACTAAAGACAGTTACATAATGTCAACATACCAAATGTGGAGGCTCGTTCATTCCAAGTGGTTCCTGCAATAATAAAGACATACACACATGTTAAAAAAAAAAACCAAATCAATTACAGTTAATTTCCTAGGAGACATGTCAAGTTCCTGAAATTTGTTAATTATGAACTCAAGAGCAGAGAAAAAACACACTTGCCAGGCTCTTGGCACAATTCTCTTCACCATTTTTGCCATCAGCTTTCTGTAAGCTCACGATTACCTGCCTGACTGCTCAGTGCCTTTCACACAGAGAAACTGCATCAGCATTACTTAGTCTGTATAATGTGGATTAGAGTCCATATAAATGCCTGCATTTGTTTTTGAGGCTATTTCTCGAAAAGATACAGAATTAAAAACAACAGATGACTGCGACAGCTCTTTTGACATGTGATCTTCAAAAGGAAGTTAAACAATCCCTTCCTGCTTTCAGTGCATTAGTATAATTTATTACTTTTTATTTATTGCTGATTATTATTTAATACTTATTACTGAGGATTGACTCTGCTTTGCATTTGGGTTTTGACAGTTCTGGCACTAATCTGCTTGGGCAAGTTACACTACCTTGGATTGAACAATGGATTAAAAATATTTCCTGTCTTTATTCACTGTGTGTATTACAAATATTTCAGCATAAAAATAAAAATAATTAAAAAACCAGACTTCTATTACAGAAAAAACAACATGGGCCAGATAAATTCTCAAGTGTTTTTATATCTGTTATTGACTAGGCATTATAAATTCCTATGTTTTAAAGCAAATTAATCTTTCCAGGCCAGGTTATTCTTTGCCTTTATGCAGTCTGCCAAAGGCAAGTTCTTGTTTTGAGGTGTCCCTGGTAATTTTCTCAAGACATAAAAAGATCCAGAGATCCAGGGCATCAATGTAAGTCTCTGTCTTGAATAGACTCATGATGTCATTAACAAGGGTCTTTAAGTTGTTTATAAATAAACAGACAGGTTGTTATAATGTGGACTGTCCTGTTTAATTATTATGGAATGCTCTGGACTCCAAAGGCCTCATTTCTTTCAAGTTTCCCCCTTAAAAGGTTCTGGTAACTCACCAACTTCACAGGTCGAATTGACATGATGGTTTTACTGGATCCTCCCCAGTCAAAGAAGCATTTGTACTTTCCTTTCTCCAATACATATTGCTCTCCACAGAAATATTTCTGCTTATATGCCACCCACCTAGAGAATGACACAAAAATTAACCCAAAACCATCACATTTTTCTGTGTAGTCTGATGACAATGCTAGCAAGTTAAATACAACAAAAAGTCCATCTGACAGACAGTGCAACATTAAGCCCAAGGAGAGGCATAAAACTGTCACACCTCGTATTTTCTGCTTTTATTTTGCAAACACTATTTGACAAACACACAACTCTGGGTATCTGCTTTTCCATCAAATATACATTCATCACGAGATGATGCTTTTCTCAGAAACAAGAAACACAAAGGAAAGAAATTTAACTGACAAGTTTTCAAATTGGATCAACTGGATCTTCAGTATCATGTAGTTCTGTAAAGCATCCCTTCAACTGCTGCCATGCAAGACTGCGAATGCTGCTACATTAAACTTGTCTTACCACCCTCAGGATTTTGCAGTTCTCATTTGTATCCCTCCTCTCCAAACTAAGTTGCAGCCTTTCATTCTTGTATTTTATCCTCAAGAGACACTAATAATCAGCCCCTGTGTGAGCAGTTTCAAGTCCCCCACTATTGCTACCCATCCTAAATTTGAAGCTTTTTTAGTCTCACTTAACAGCTGCTGATCCCTATCACCATCACCATTAGGGTAGGTATGAGAGTGTTAATATTGTACTTTTAAAATTACTAATAAAAGCCTGGAATTTCCACCCACATGATTCCATAGTGCTATTTTCCCGTAACATCTTTTATGTTTTAGCACTTGATATTATTTTTCATGCACAGTACCCCTGCCTTCCATGTAATAGCCTATTCCATCATTCCCATAGAGTGGGTGAGTCCCCTGCTTATCCTTCCTGTGAGTCTCCGCAGTATCTGCTGGATCAGAGCTGTTCTTTCAGGACAAGCATTCGAGCTCCCCCACACTAATTGGTAGGCTTCTAGCACTTTGGAGTTTTGTCCTTGCTCCATCAGTTAATACCACATGTCTGTCTGTCAACAGACACTGCAGGTGGTCTAATTTACCTTCCTCATTTATTTGCTTTGTTTCCTTGTTTATTTTCCTTCCGAACTTCACATATGCACACCAAAAGTTAGCCAAGTCCACCCTGTACACTGTATCAGCTTGAGCCAGGTACTCTTCTACAGTCCTTGGTTTAACTCCTCCTTTTAGTTAAAATAGTTCTATAAAATTAAAATATTCAGTGCCAGCAGTCTGACTTTCTTACAAATACAACACACTTTCTGTACAGGCCCTACCTGTCCCAAAAGGCATCTCAGACCTTTACAAACCTAAAATCTCTCTTCTGTATTACTCCCAAAGCTCCTGTATTGTGAAACTATAGTATGTGATGCCTCTGGAGGAACATCACAAGTTTTCTCTAGTGACAAGAATGTCCAGATCCAAATTAAGGTACAAGCATGAGAGCTACAAAAACTAATGTTATTTTTTTCCCCTTCCATTCACCAAGGAAACACAAAGAAACATTTTTTTCCTCCAAATGTTTACCACCTGTACCATATTCTGTCAAAAGATGCACCCAAACACGCACAAAGATACTGAAGAGTTCCCTCCATGTATTTCAGTAGACTTACACTCCACTCCTTACAAGAATAGACCTCGTCTCCGGGCCAAATCCAGCCTTCTCCAAATCAGGGACCTCTTCATTGGTGATGTCTAATGCCTTCCCATCTTCATCAGACTGAAAAAGTGCCACTGATGACTCTATGAAATCCTAAGAGGCAGCACAGGAGTTAGTCAAGACAGGCTGTCACAGCTCAGCAACACTTCAGAACATAAAACATTTTGGAAAAGCGTCGTAGCCAGAAAGACAGCGTTTCATAAAGCAGTGAAGGGACTTAGATCCCTTGTCTGGATCTTTAAGGGATATTTTGGCATTGAAGTTCTGTAAAAACTGGCGGCCTGGCAATCTGATATGGCCTTCAGCGGTTTCTGCTGAAGAGATAAGGAACCTGCTGCCCTCAGCACTATCCTTTCCTCTGCGAGGATGACTGAGAAAGCAAAGATGCCCATGCGGGCAAGGGAAGAGTTGTGGATTTAGCACTGATCTTCCACCAACTTCATAAATGACTATTCCAAGTATTAGCACGACTATAGCTTCTTACTCCAAGTTCTCCTTCCTCATCTCTTACCAGCAACCTGGCAATAACCACGGAGACAAAAAGACTGGGCAAGATCACCTTTGGAGCACAAGGGATTTGTACTTTTTGGGTACATCCGTGGCATGACTAATCACTACAGCTATAAATAAATCCTGCTTAACACTGTCATGTTCCCTCGTACATAGCTGTGTGACACTGCTCTCTGCTATCAGCTAGCTTAGCTCCCTGACCAGATTACTTGCACAGCTTGAGATTATTTGAATTTGGGTCTCAAATCTTCAACTTTTTAACTACTTAGCAATTCTAAGCACACAGTTCAGTCATTGCTTGGGAAAACAGAAAACAACAATCCTTTCACTTTATTCCTTTAACTTTGTTATGTTAACTTTTAATGCTTCTCCAAAATTCAGCCATGTTATAATCAGTTGAAGCTAAGCAAGTCTTCCAAACAAGAAATAAAGGCTATCAAGCAAACAGTGTGGCTGACACAGATCCACAAATGTATGAGAACACCACCATAGGAATTATTACACTAAATACTTGCTGCTGTAGCATTTCAGTGTTACCAACCTGAGAGCAGTATGCCGAAGGCTACACTGAGGAAAAGACTTATAACTGTCCAAAGCCACTTAGAAATTAAGGCCAGATCCTTTGGTTGGGCTCTTTAGAGGACACCATGTCTTTGTACAGGATACAATCACAATGAATTATGAAAACCAACTTTAGAACAAACACTTGATGTAGCTCAACCTCTCTTCATTGTTTACAGGACACTAAAAGGTGATGGAACAAATTATGTAGTAAAACTGGTTTTCTTACTAAGTTGACCACCTCCTTCTTTAACGTATTTCAACAGTTGCAACTACTTCAGATATACAGTAGAAATTAAAGTACCAGGTCTGACAAAATCATCATGAACAACTGCAACTTCAGACTACCTTTTTGTAAAACAAACAAACAACCAAACTGGTACAGTATTAGCGAAAATGAAAAACAGCTACTCTTAGCAGTCCTAAAGCCAAGACTTTATAAAAGTACCTGAAAAGTCATTTAGATCAAATCTACACAAAATTTCTTAGACTAAACTTATAATACTGAAATATATTCACAACTGTAATTACATTTAAAACATGTTTCAAATTCAGTCATCATTCTTTCCTCCCTAAATTTCCACTACAGTTTCTCTAACAATAAACAAGAAGAGAAATACTTTTTTAAGAAAAGACTTCCAGACCAAGGCAAATCATTGCAGACTTGAAAACATTAGTGGGGAAGCTCCAAAGGCAACATACTCTGAAAAGGCTCAGAAACTTTGCTCTTTCTCTGATCATGACAGCCATAGGCAAATCCCAGCTTCACGCATTCACTTGACACTGCAGAAAAGCAGCAAATGTAACTGTCCCCCAAACCAGCACAAACTGCTGCCCGTCCTCAGGAACAGGCTCTGTGTTTGACTCTGATGTGTTCAATATAGATGCTGATCACGGAGCTTGCAGCAGCTGGGAAAAAAACAATCCCACAAGATCTTTCTGCTTTCCAAACATTCCCCAAATCCCCACATTAGCTCTTGGAACACGTAAGACAGCTAAAACCTGGAAGCTTTTGCGGTGTGCCTGCGTACATCTTCAGCAGTGGGTGAGGAGGGGTGATGTGCAGCAATCCCTCGTTTGTGTGCAGTGCCTGACCTTTCAAATTTGTCAGGAAATTAAATTCCTGCCTCAGCTCGACTGCAGCCACTGCCACGTGTACAGAAACCCAGGTTGGATTTTCCTGCTGCTAACAGGCCCTGGTGGAACCTGTCACGGCGAGCGTGGTGGTGCAGGGCTATCTGAATAGCTCTGCAGAGCACTAAGCCCCACTGAGGGAGCTGGGAATGACACAGGCTAATGAGCAATGCCGTGCCCTGCTCTCTGCAGAGCCTTGACGTGCCTCTGGACCACACTCCCTGCGGCGGGAGCACCACACAGAGACATCTGATGTGACTCTGCCTGCAGCTGACTCAGGTACACGGGCCCAGGAGCTTCAGCTTCGAGCCCTATGAGCCAGGCTGAATCCATCTCAGGCGTGGGCTGACCTCAAAGCCAACACAGTCAAGCTCACCGGGTGTGATGCTCCAGCAGAAAAAATACAAGTCTGGCTAAACTTTAGTGGCCCTACATGAGAACACAGCAGTGGGTATGTATAAGAACAGGGTCAATGCCCAACCCCACTCCCTACCTAAACTGACCACGGATAATGCATGGGCACTTCACAAAATCCTAAATCCTCTACAGAGAGTCTTAAATTCATTGGACTAAACCAGAATTCGAGGGAAGGGCAATAAAGTTCTGACATCCAGGAACACCCCCATTGCGACCTTCACTGTGCTCCTCCTGAGGGAATTTCCGAGGTTGTGCAGAAGATCTCATACGTTCACTCTTATGCACACAGAACTAGCTTTGGATTTTTGCCCAGGTCCCCTTGAAAACAAGAGTTCAATACTAAAATATTTTTAAAATCCTGACCTTAAGTATTATATACAAAGTCAGGAAGGGGAGCATATGGCAAGCCTGAACACTGACACGTGTGCTGCACATCGGAGGGAGGCAGGCAATCTGCTGGTCAAGCCAAACAACAGAATGCCAGTGCCCTTAGTCATTTCACTGGCAAGCAGCTCATTGCCCTTAGTTATGCTACAGCTTGAGGAAAATGGTTCCCTACACTTTTATTTTATTAAATATTGACACATATTTATATGCCAGTTTGAATGATAGATGTTGATTTACGACTGTGAATGATACACGTTTTTAAAATGTTTATGAGTTGAGTCTTGCCAACTCTCCCAGTGTGAGTCAACATGAATGTACGTGGAGGGTCACTCTTACTAGCCACACACACAATTTTAAGCTTGTATTTATGTCCTTCCCAAGAGAAAGATCTAAAAAGATCAATTTAACTTGCTCTAGTATCCTACATATAGTTGGAAAATAGAGAGAAACTAAGATTAGTCAGTAATTGAACACGATTCTGCATATTAAAAATTAATAATCTGAAGAAATTCCCCACCTGTTTTTTTCTCAGAAATCTGAAAATAAATTATTTAGAGAAGAATAGTTTTCTTCAATTCAGTTTATTCTCCTATCTTTATTTTAAGATGTATGATAGATTCTGATCATAAATACAGCTTCTGCTAGGTGCCTTTCATAAAAACCAAAGCTGTAAATTGTGAATTAAAGTATGGCCTTCTTGGGTTCATATTAACTTCTTATTTTTAAAAAAGGTAATGACTGTTGAGACAGTGAGTTTGCTCTATCTTCAACCTTCACAAAATTCCTGCCTCAGGAATATCATATCTCCTCAGATGAGGAGATGAGCAATCTAGGTATACAAAACTGAGTGATATCACAGTGAACAATCTGAGTCTCAAAAGGAGCCACTCTTTGCAGCTGTATTTAAAGTTCACAGAGTACCCATTATAATAAAAAAATCTTCAAACCCTCCAAATGAACAAAAAAAACCCAAACCAAAGGAAATGATAAAGAAGTTCTAATCCCATGTTTCCCCATCACTAACAAGTCTAACTTTGCTTCCAATACTGGACTCTTACAGATAGTGTTTATTATTATTTCATCTTTGCCTCCACTAAACCCATTTTAGCAGCAGGGATTTTTTTACCATGATTAGTTTTGCTGCCAAAATTTTCTGGCAGAAAAATTACAGAGACAGAGGGTAATGCTGTTTTAAGGCTTGTAACAGCTGCTGCGTTGAAAGGCTATTTTTATTTTAATAAAGAACTACACTGTACACTTAGGCACGTTATGCTTTTAAGAAAATTCTGTTAGATTCAAATAGCTTGAAGTGCAGAAGGGAGGCACTTGGAAAATCTGGCAGGTAGACAAGGAATTCTGCACGATGCATTTTTTGTTGTATGAGTTTCACAAAGACTATTTAGAACCTGCCCCTGCTCTGCAATGTGTATGCAGTGCAGCCTCAACTTCAGCCAGCAGGACGACGATGAGAATGAACACGGGCAAAAGATGGAATGACTAAGCCCAAGACAGCTTAACCATACAGAAAGAATAACCTTCCTCTTCATGTACAGAACTGTGCATCATTTGTGTGGAATTCACAGGAGTACTTACAGCCTGCAGGAACCGGAAAGACAGGAGGACACTGTCAGTTCCCCCCCAGCAACGTCTGTCTTCATAATCTCCCTCCTCCAGCAAGTACTGATGGCCTTTGTAGCGCTCCTTGTCATAGGCAACCCACCTATGGCACAACAAAGGAAAGAGAAGTCAGTAAGGCTGACACACACCGCTTTCAAACACAAAGCAAAGGGCAAGAGAACATCCCCAAAACACTAAAATGGTTATCACAAACTCAGCTGATGAACAAAGCAACGCTTGTTTGAAACCACAACAGGCAACCCAGGAAGCGTTCTTTGTGGACCAAAATCCCACCATGTGATTCGCTATCCGACAATAGTTTATTTATGGGACACTTCTCCACGTGTCTGCTCTCAGTCAGCCAGATTGCCAACCCCAGTATTTGGTACTACAGAGACTGATATGCATCCAGCTGCCAAAACATTCCAAGCCACCAACTGTCAACAGTACAAGAAACAAGCAGTCAGTATCTTCAGTGGATTAATAAACAATGAGTTTCTACCCTTGCTGGAGCTGGTGGTAAAATTAACAGATTTCAACAGAAGAGAATTTTGCCTGCTTGTATTCTTCCCTGCTCTAATCTAAAAACATAGGCATATAAACAGACAAGCAAATTGAATTTATCAAGCATACTGCATAGGGAATATATTTTAGCACAAAATGAATAAAACTTTTTAAAGTATTTTTAAGAAATAGATAAGGCTCAATTAAAAGAAGGTGCTTCCATATCAACTTTGAAATCTCTAATGGAGCTTAATTTGAAAAAGAGTTTCACCCCTCCTTCTTTCTTGTAAGAACTTTTTTTCATCAAAGCTCCCTTGTAGGGATTAGGGCTGCTGTACAAATTCTGTTGGCACTGAAATTTGGCAGGCAGGGAAGCTTTTCTTTTAGTACCATGTGGTTTACATTAATTCAGCTGTTTAGGTTACCACAGCACTAAAAATAAATGCTGCCACAACAGACAGAACAATGATTTTTAATAACTTGAGGCTTCCCAGATAGTGAATACACAATGCATTTATGAAGAGATTATTTGAGGAGTAACAATTAAGTTTGTTTTTAATTTAGTGCTCACAAGATTCTGACGACAGCCTGAAAGGATGTATGTTATTCATTCTTTATGTTGACATAGTAACATGGAAATCCTCTAAGGAACAAACCCAGAATTTCCTGAAAACTGTTTTATTACTGAGGTCTTTGGCAGAAGAAGAAGGTCTTGGAAGAGGCTGGAAGAACAACACGAGGGGCTGGTAGCTCTCTACAATAGCTGGTGCTGAGCCTGCCTTGAGAGAGCCCACCCGAGGCCCCGTGTTACATGACACAGAGAGGGGCAGGGCTACAATAAATCAATCCAACGCCTCAATAAATGAAATTAATAGGAGATTCTTGATTCCAGACAACATGCAAGGGGTGACAGAGGAAAACCATTAAGACAATAAAACAGTTTATATGTTTCAGAGATATTAAAATGCCAAAGTGAAGAACTAACCTCACCTATCCAAGGTCATTTCAGTAAATTGAGACTGTCAGAAGTATGAAGCAATATGAATAAAGCTCTGTGTGTATGCTTTCATTAAGGAACAAAGTGGCCTAGTTTATTGGCATCCAAAGGTAAACACTGACTCCACACCTCTCACACATTTGGCTTCATCTTCCAACATTCCCTTAGAGAGATAAGCCATATGTAGACGTAATGGTATCCAAGGTTATAATTGACAAAAGAAACATATACTCCTTTCTTTTAGAAACGTTCTACCTGTGAAAAATTCCAACCACCACTTAGTTAGCACTTTTAAGCAATTAGTTATGCTTTCCTCCCTTAAAAGAAATAAATACAGAAATGAAATATACTTACACTCCACCAATTACACGTATTGATCCAACTTCCTGGAACTCCTCTTGGTCAGCAAACAGTGCTGGGACAGAAGTGATGTTTTCTGAAAACTCTTTGGACCATCCTCCAAAGTGGGTTTTCTCATATATTATTATCTGGAAAACATGATGTTGAATAATGACCTGAGTATGTCCTGAGTATGTCCTGAGTATGTCCTGAGTAGCAATCTCAAGTTTGTGATTATGTACTCCTACAGTATGTGGTAGACCTCTTCCCCCCTCCATCACTGTGAAGAAAATTCAGCGTTGCATTCCTCAGCCCTTCTGATTGCTGGGGGCCCTGAAAGCTGGAGACCCTATTTGGATTTACATGGGTTTGTCAGGTTGTATCCAGACAGTAGGATACTTATTCACACACCTGTATGTGCATAAATGTACTCTCCAGCTACATGACTGTGATTTGTATCCTGTAATCCTGTGCCTGGGCAATGAATATTAGCCTGCAGTGAATCCTACCTGGTCACAGGAAGACAGATGGAGCTTAATCCTTCAAAAGTAAGCAAGTGGTCTTTCCCTGTACTTTGCTAAAGTTATTTGAATGACCCCCTTCAGGTTCCTCATCTGCCCAATCACACAGATCAGCTATCACCAGTATTTATATTTGTTGCAGTATTTAAAAAAACTCCCAAGTTGGGCATGTATTTGTATAATTAAAAGTTACCTAAAGCATTACCATTTTTGTGGAGAACTAGGAAAAGGAGGGAAAAGGAGCAATAACTCTGGATTAGCTTTCTGCTCCTCAGCTCACAGAAGGATCATCATCTCACTCACAGCTCTTATACTGGGATAGGGCATAGGAAGGAATTCCTGCACCCTTCCTCCCTTCCCCTTTCTTTATTTTTAAACTTGGTATATTAAATGGGAAAATCTCTCCTGACCCCTTTACCATTACAGTGACTAATGTGTCAAGTCATAAAAACTGATTTTATTTTGTGAAAGCTTTAAAATTCTGCTAGAGCAAATTGACATTCTCCTAACGTGAAAAATGAACTACTACTGCTTTTACAACTCATGAAATACTGACTTTGACAGCATTAGTGAATTTTTCTTCAGCAGCAAACACTGAATACTTAATCAAACATCATATACCCAAGAAAAAGAAAATAGTTTAAATAAAGGCTTTATATTTAAAATGTGCTAGTATTTTATTCTCAGTGTCCTCAGTGCTTACCTTGACATTCATTGGCATTTGTACCTTTAGTCCGCCCTAAAAAAAAAGACGGGGAGGAATATTAAACCTGAAGTTACACTTTGCCACATATTTTACAGTACTATCAGAGCGTGAAGTCTTTGCAATTATATTCACCAATTGCAGTGCTGGTCATATAAAATGCTAATTTAAATACTTTGATATTTCAAAAGGGTAGGGACACTATAAACTTGACCTACAAACAAACCAGTGCATTGATAAGCCTGTAAGGCTGAAAGCAATTTAAAAATATTCCTTCACTGTCTATTAGCAATATAAAGGAAATAATTTACCACGTGTTTTTAAACTAATTTATACTGTCCAATTTTTAAAATTAGCTTTTAAAGCTTTGTTGTATGCAAACAGATCGTGGAGCTCCAAGAAATTATAAACACCAGAAGAGAGAGAAAACATAAGCTGACATATTCATGGTCAAAGAGCAAATACAACAAACCCATCCTCTCTGGAAATTTTAGTGTATGATGTTCTGTGAGGGAATAAGACACCTCACTTGAGTGACTACAGAGATTGCTATTAGGTCTTACTTCTTTATGGCTTTTAAAGTCTCTCTCTGTAGGCTTGCTATGTGTGTTATACCCTGTCACATTCTTTCATATGTAGATCTACGTGCTGTCTGTTAACACAAAAATGAGCTGCACCTCCTTAGATTTTTGTGCAATCACTGGGTAATAAACTCCCTTCTGGTCTTCCATTCCCAGAAGAAAAGAACATTAGAACCCAAGTTATACTTAGGTCAAAACCACTGGGGAAGCAACAAGAAGAAAAAGGAAGGCACATGGTTATCAGGGAATTGTAAAGTCCTCACCATTTTTAAGGGACGCAGGGATTTAACATCTGCTGAAGGAATTTCGGACGGCAAATTGGATTCTTCCAAAACCATCATCTCTCCCTTGTAATTGAAGTCTGAGTAAGCAAGCCATCTATAACAGTCAAAATAAATGACTCATTAATCTCATTAATTAGATGACAAAGATTTTATTAAGATGATTTTCCTTTTTAAACTCATAAGAGCTAGATAATGTTTTAGATATTGCACATCAAAACAAATCTGTAGTTGAATACACTGGCAACATCACTGCTAAGAAAATCTCAGTTTCTCTCAATTCAAGCTAAATATAAATGAAAGAGAAGAAAATTACCAATTTGCTCACACACTTCAAAAAGCCATTTTGGTACATAATTAGTAAACAAAAAAAAGTCAGTACTGAGGATGAGAATTGAATTTTCACCTTATGAACTAAAAGGCTTCTAACATCAATCCCACTTTGGTTTTTTCTGTGGAAGTTATAAATTATGATGATTTACAACACTTCTTCGGAAAGCTATTGTAATTTTGATATGAAGATTAAAAATGCTGAGACTCCTTCAGACTGTTTTAAATGAAAAAGAAAGCTGAATGCAGAAGTTGGACACAAGTTTAGGAGACCAAATAAGGAATGGAGGAAAAGGCATTGAGCCACATGAGAGTGATTTTCTTAAAGCTACACAGATCATAGGCTATTAAAAGTTATACTCAGTTCTATCAGAACTAAACCAAAACTCTGGTTTTAATTCCTTCACCACCTCAAACTTCACAGACATACTGTAAGATTGTTGGAAGGAAGACTTGGCTCACGTGGAAAGGCAAACTCAAAACTCTGTTAATAGAACTAATGGAAATCTGCAATGACTTATGAGAAGAGACACAGAACTCCCAAACTTCAGGAGCTGTGAAGTGTTGGCCACTTACCCAGGAAACAGCCTTATTCTGCTCAATACAGGACATGCTGGGCTACCAAGCGGCCTGTTTCATGTCGCATCACCCCTCTCCAGAATGTCAGGATGTGGCTGCAGCTTGAGAAATGCTTGGATGATGTAATACTCATTTTCTGCTATTCAGCCACAGTGTTATAACAGGGTGGGTGACTAGGGAGACAGTATCTATTCTCCAATGAACTAAAAGCTCAGCTGCTGCTTCTATTTATAAAGCTACTCAAAAATTGAATTACAACTTCTGCCAGCAACTAGGAAAAATGCCTTCAAAAACTTGGTTCCACTATTTACTGCCCACAGAGCATAATGCTGAAGTGTGGATCTGGGAATATGTGTTGTATGTTAACTGATTTGTACCGAAATCCCCCAAATATTGTTCAGATTTCTGACTAGCATCCCATGATGTTACTCCTCTACCTGCTGGCAGAGCGCTATTAAAAGGTTCAGTACTCACACTCCTGATTTGACCCTTATGTAGGGGTTTTTCTCAACATCCAGCTCTTCTAAATTGGGAATTGCACCTTGTATGCAGATAGGAAGTCCCTCTGCACTTCCAGCTGCCAGGCAGAACTCCACCTCTGGAACACCACAGTCCTGTGGAAACAAATCACAGGGTAAGGTTTATCAGCAATGTCTGTGTGGATATCCACAGAGCCCAGCCCTGAAGAACTGGTAATGCTTCCTTATTTTTTTCCCCGTCTTCTCACCCTTCTAACATAACTCCAGGTTTCATATGATGGAAGGGTTTTAGCTTCTTAAAAACAAGAGACTGGAATTTTTAGAAAAGCTATGGGAAGTACATTTCCACCTCCCAGGAACTTTCAAAGAACAACTGTGCATGTACTGTCAGGCTACTTTCAAAAAGGTCAGTTTAAATACTCTCCAAGTAAAGGAGTATTAGAAGTGTTATTACAAGTATTATAATAATGACTTTTTTTTTTTTTTAAAGACAGTGCTTCCATAACCCGCAATAAGACATGTATAATGCACACATAACTAAAACTTTCTAGAAATGTCTACTACCTTCCCACCTCCCTCCCTCCATGATAATTAGGTTCTGTAATGAATCCAACTACGGTGTAAAGCCATATGAGTTCAATTTTCTGACGTGCTAAATAAATCTACAGCATTTTAGACAAGGAGAAGAAAAGATTAGTATTAAAAAAACATCTCTTTTGTTCAGTAGACACTTTAGAAATTTTCCTGCTACACAAAGCAACACCCTCTATTACCACAGTGAAGGTTTACTACTGCCAGATCCCATGCCTGAACACATGATATTCCCTAGAATTTGCAGGGATTTTATTGAGCCATCCTCATTTAGTAATATTTATATAAAATGTACTGCCAATACTTTCTTCCCCAGCACTCAAACACATCATGAATCAATGAGGAACTCATAAAGCACGAGAGCTTGCAGAGAAACTCAGTATCAGGGCACAAAAGCTCTTAAAGTTCTCTATTTCACAGAGGTTTTGAGTGGGGTTTTCATGGAGTAACCTCCCATTGCCTCTTGATTAGTGTTTTTCAGCAGCTATTTAACTGTCAGCAATAATTCTGGCAATTATAATAGATGCACTTCAGGATGTTACTTCACTTTCCTCATAAGACCTGAAGGAACACAGTATACTATTTTGCCAACTTTCCCTCATGCACAATCACGTTTCCCCTGTACTGTACCTTGCAAACAACACACACTGTTTTTAGAACAAAAACTGTAATACTAGAATTTTTCTTTTCAGACGAGCAAAACTAGAAAAACTGGGAAGAAGGACTTTCTAGTACAATGCAACTTCATGGCAAAGTGCTAAGGAACTCAATTCTAAGTGTAAGGCTAGGCAAGTTTAAAAAAAGTGAAAACAATCTCCCCATAGTTTTCACATGTAGATATATCTTAATAAATCCCATTTGAGAAATATTTGAAGTTTGTGGTTTTTTCCTAATAATACCTGATATGTGGTAAGGCTGATATCCGTAAATCCAACAATAAAGCTTGAAACAGAAAAACAAAAGCTGTACCTATAAGAATTCCCCAAATAATACTATTATTAATGGTTTTGGATAAATTCTGAAACGAAGTACCTACGAGACAAGCAGCAAAATTAAGTATCTGCCTGTGGGCTCAGACAGAATATGAGATGGAGGATGTTTAATTCAGTAGGACGCTTTTGGTTTTGTTTTTCATTTAAGATTGGAAAAAGCCAGTCTGTATTCTCTTTTCAAGTCTGCTCTTCCTGACGCTTAAGCTCATGAGGCTCCAGCTCAAGAGATGACAAATGTAGCAGGGTAGGTAAAGCACAAGCACTCATAATTACATCTCTCCTATTTATCACTATCTCTCTCCAGCCAGATTTGGCAGTCATAAAAACCCTCTGTTCACTGTGACAGTATGTTTGTGTGTGCCAGATTAAGTCCAGAAACTTTTTTCACAAAGTGTAAACTGAGGTTTTCATCAAAACCAATTCAAATATCTATTTTTGAAGGTAGTAATGTTTGAGCAAGAAGTATATCATATTTTCTAAGCACATTTTTTAAAGTCACAAATACGCATTTTGCCTTAAATATTGAATTCAATTTACCTACATTAATGCACAGACTGCAGAAAATGGTGACATTTTTTATTACTGTATGAGATGAACACTGGGTATTTGCAGATGTATGCTCAAATACTATGCCATTAGTTTATACAATCCAAGCATGCAAACTTTAGCTGGGTAAATATTTGCCTTAGCATGTTCATATTTGCCTGAGCACATTTAAGAGGCATCATTACTTTCAGAGGCTTCTTTAGCATTCCTAATAAAGCCACCATCTTCAGAAACAAAATGAAAACCACACAAACACGATAGCATTCAGGTTGAGAACTAGATGCTTCAGTCCAAGGCCCTTTCATCAGCAAGGCGTCAAGATTTTGGAATGAGATACCCACATGCAAAACTATTATCATGCAAAACTACCACCACAATGTTTCAGGCCAGATCCAAAACTGGAAAGTTTTCCCCCCCTCTACCTGACCCCAAGCCCTGCCACCCCCATCCCAGGCAGCCAAAACTGATGTCATGCACTATCCCACTGACACATCAGGCAAAAAGGGAGTAAAGAGCACAGCAACCAGGTTAGGTGGCTGTTGACTTCTTTTCACCTAGCGAACCACACAAACAAAACAAACACAGACCCTCCACATAATGCTGTGAACAAACCCATCACAAAGACCTTTGCTTAAGGAGACTCCATAAGGAATCCAGTTATTCCCTGCCTAATTGTCTTGCAGACAGTGATTATAAACTGCTATTTTCAGATCTCCTGTCATCTTGCAAAACATCTCCAGAAAGGAAAGGTCAGGAACATTTCTAAGCTGGTTTTTGGAAAAATTACAGTTACCCTCTCTGGGCTTCCAGCAACAGATGGAAAAAGCCTTCCAACTGCATTTGCAGCAGGCCAGAGAACTGACTTGGCTAAACAGACTGTGCTGCAGGAGCTGCACTGAATCTGTGTGTCCAGGCAGACTTTGCTGGCCTAGGCTCATGCTGACTTGCCTTGGTGGAACTCAGTCTCCACATTACTTCAGACAGGTCTTCATTTTACTGATCACACAATCTGTTTCTGTGGAATCTCCTCCCCACGAGTTCCTTTAAATTAAATACACATGGATACACCTAATGCTTATCCACAGTTAGGCCACAAACTAACCACAAAGCCAACACAATCTTTGCTTTTTTGTAGAGGCTTGAAGCCAAATCAAGAGCACAAAGCCACTGGTAAGACTGTTTTTCAGCCAGTCTGTTAGTAAAAAATATTTAAAATAATATTAAATGTACCTCCTACAGCTTCCTTAGCAAAAATCTGTTTTTCTCTTGTTGGCAAGCCATTTTCTTCTCAAATATTTGGCCAATGTTTACATCTGATAACTCAAGGCATCTGAGCAGCCATTAAACAAGCACCATAAAAAGCCACTTGCAGATCTGGAAGACAAGCCAGAAAACCTGCACACAAAACCAGCATGGCCAAACTAGTCAGCAGAAAAGCCACTGAGCTACCCAGCCTGTGACAGAGATTGGCAGTAAAACATGTGATCCTGCAGATCACACACACGAGCTCCCTGAAAAAGAAACAGTCATTTTTCAAATAAAAGCAATGCCCATATTTAAAAACAAAACAAACAAATAAATAAGGTAGCGTTTTGGTAAACTACCTTCTGAAAGTACTTCCACAACCTAAAAAAGAGGGATGCTTTCACCAATCAAGGTTGAAAAGACCAAATCTGGCTCGGTGAGATCCACGCCCCTCCAGCTCCACGGACTAGCAGCAAAAGCCCTCCTAACCAGCCACACCTGCTAGAGCTTTAAGTGACACAAGAACAGTGTTGATTACTGAACTAGTGTACTGTAACAAAGCTTTCCATCTGTGTTTCATAGAAATGAACCACATACTGGAAGAAGAACAAAGGTCAAACCTATTTAGCTGTACTACAAAGATTTTTGTCAAGCATGCTGAAGCTCAACACAGTATCTTTCCTATTCAAGAGTTTTCTTTCATGCCCAAGACACATCCAGCTTCCCTTGGATTCAGGCAATTCCTTTATTTATTTAGTTGCCTTTCACAGTATTGATCAAGATTTCTATTACATATTGGTCAAAGGCTTTTAATCTGTTTAGCTCAAATAAATGTTAACTTCATTATTCCTGCCTTCAGCCAGCTTCTTTTGAGTTAATTTATTGTTAAGTGTTTGAAGAGAAGGAAAAAGTATTTCTAATTGTTATGACATTATGCCCCTGTACTGATGACAAAAAGGTTATCAGTTTTAAAGTGAGTTCTATTCCAGTAGAGAACAGAGAAACCACTTTACTGAAAACCTTTCACATTTTGATACAAATGATAATTCACTCACAGTAAGGGCCACTGCCCTGTGAATAACTGGAATGTTACACTAAACAAGAGAGCATTAAGTCTTCTGAAGTCACAAGATCTGGTAAATATATTCCTCATTCACTGAATAACAATGGATGCATTATTTTTGGGTTTAGACATTTGATTCTTATCTGTGGCTGTAGGCAGAGCCAGATGCTGTAGGTGTACCACTTGTTCACGTGAAAACCCTACAGACAGCCCAAAGCTGCAGAGGAACAAAAGTAATTTCTGGAGGCTACAATGTACACAGAGGATTAGAAACCCAGCTACTAACCTGTGAAACAGAAGCCATACAGACACCGTAGACAGCTTAAGGTTAAGATAAATTTTGAAAAATATGAATTGATTCCATTTAATTTCAAATAACTGGACAGGTAAACATCTAAAAGGAGGGGAGTCACCATGTCTCGTGAAGGTGGAGGCAAAGAAACATAAACAATCTGCTCACTAAGTCAGGAAGGGAAATTTAGCACAGCATAAGCCCTAGAATTTATCTAAAAAAAAAAGTGAAAAAAGTGATTCATAGCAAATTTGAATTGTCAGAAACACTATACACACATTGCCCACTGCTAGCAGTACACCATTCCCAAAAAATCAATTCACTACTAAGAAAGTCTGTACCTTTGTTACATGTTTGATTGAACCAACTGTGAGGTTTCTTCGATGATGTTTCACGCCTGGGAGATCCCAAAGGTGGTCCAGCACAGCCTCTCCTTCTTCTAGGACATATTTTCGACCCTGGAACTTTGGTTTCTCATAAAAAATCCAGCTGTAATAACAATATCACGAACTGAGTTGTTGCTGTTAGGTGACACTGTCCTTACACAGCACATCTGATGGAAAGACCACTAATAAGCTCTTCTTGTCAAGGCAACTCTCACATCTTTCTTGTGCTGTCCCTCAACAGTCACTTTCACTTCAGTATTGAAAACTAAAATACAGAGTTCTCTAACATAATTTAAAATATTAACTGTATAAAAACACAGCTAAACCACAAAGCAAATAAAATTTTACCAGAACAAATAGATTAACTGTCACATCCAAACATGTCATGTTCAGGCAGGTACTATGCAAGGCATAAAACACACTAATAATGACATTCAGCATTTCTCAGGATGTGAAAGCAACGTATGCAAACCCATACAAGGCTGCCTCGAAACTGCATAAACGTGACACGCATGGTTACCGTGGCTGACAGCCAGAAACATTCCCTGCAACAACTGACCGGCCCCAGCTCCCCGAAGCACACCCAGAAACGCCTGCAACCTTAAAGGTACTTGGATATATCCACATTGCTCTAAATGCTACATTAAACCCAGCACTGGGAATGCTCATTTGACGGTCCTTCTGCAGCAGCCACTGTATAATGGAACTGAGCTGTAACAAAACCAGCATTTTCTCTGGCATACACATGCTTCTGGTCATGAGTATGGCTGCACTGTCTCAGCACTTCAGGCAAGAACTCTAAACTTACTTATGGCTCTACTAGAAACTTTCTGTTTGAAGCTAGCTCCCAGGAGAAACAATATTTTTATTTTTTTTGTGCTGCAGCACTTGAAGCCTTGTTTCATGCTTTTTTTCACTGGTATCAGTCTAATTATAAAGAAAGAAAAAGACACTCTTACAGATCGGACGTGTATCATACATGAAAGAAATAAAAATACAAGAGAAATGCATATGCAAGTCTTTTGGAAATGCTCTATTTGAATATGACCTGGATTTCTTACCATCCTCTAATTATCCTAAGTAATGCTCCAATGGGAAAGTTCCATGATGAGGTATCTGGCACATCAGAATGAACTTCTTGTTTACTTTTGTTGCCATAAGTATCATAAATAACAATCTGAAACAATATACAATGAATGAGGGCCCATCTCAACATGCAGTAGAGACAGTTATTTTTTGCCTGCAATTTGTGCCCACTCAACTGGAAGGCTACACATTTTCTTCTTTTATGAAACACTCTACTGAACGAAAACAACAATTGCTGAGGAACACAGTAAAATGACTAACGGCAGGATTTTTAATAATATATTCTCATTATTAGCATATCCAAACACATGTAATAAATACATAAAAACACATAAAACTAGACTAATAACTTCAGATGCCTTCCATTCAAGAACTTTGGTATAACAAATTATTCCATGTATCACATTGATTGGTACGGCAAATTCTGCTTACCTTTCCTGGTCTTGGATTGTATTTGAGACTTGCCCTGTCAATGAGGTTCTGAAATTAAAAGGACATGGCAAACAACTATTAACACCTACAACACAAAGCACAGGCAGATTATTCCAGGTCCACTACTCCTACACAGGAACACAATTGTCAGTAGCAGCAACAACCAAGACCTGTTTCACTGCTGTTTAGAGCTGGTGTCAATAGCTTAACAGACTCAAACAGCAGGAAGTGACGTGCTAGAAGGGAAAAACTATTAGGGAAGTGCTGACCTTCACAAATGTATTACCCTGTCCCAGCAAACAATCAACTGCATTTCTTACCGGTGAAAAAAAGCCAGAAGATGGCTCTAACACAGCATTCCCAACATTAGAGAAAGACTCCTGCAGATACACATTTGGCCTATGGGGCACTTTCAAATTGTAAATATTGGAAGAACTGTTTCCATACTCTCATTTGCCAGTACTTTGAGTAAACTAAAAAACAAACTTTAATCTATGGAAGCAGCTATGTTACTTACTTGCTAACTGAGCTCTAATTTGTAGACAACACTGTGATGAAACAATCAAGCAGCCCAGCAAGCAGATATTTGTATCTTTTTTGGACAAGACAGCTCTATTAATCTCAGAAGTGAAAGAAATCAGAAGGCAGTTTCATTATCTTCAGGTTGAAATGCCCTCAACATAGGTAAGTCTGTGCTCTGCTATTACAGAAACTTGCTATTATGCACATTTTCCTACTGTATTTTCTGTTCACATATTCGGTTTTACAATTAAGTCCCTTTCACCTGTGTGCTGAATCAAGAACACTATGTTTTTAAAGTTACATTATCAGAAGACTTTTTTTTTTAAACTATGAAATGGCCTAATTACTTTTGATAAAAGAATTACTTTTTGATTACCTTTACAATGAAAGAATTAATCTTAATTAAAAGAGAGCAAGGAGAATAGGGCAATTTTGAATCTGGGCTAATCATTTTGATTATAAATTTTATGTGGTGTGACATCTTACCGCTGACAATTCTCCCAGTTTTGGCACGGTGTTGTCCTGAGACCAGTGAATCTTTGGCTGCAGCATATCCTGGAGAACGCTCCCAAACCTGGTCCCCTTCTCAGAAGAGCAAGTGCTGGCAGATTTCAAGTACTGGTAGTAGACACTCGTAGGAGGATGTGTTGGAGCACCATCTTTCTCTGAAGCTGATTTACAAGGTGTTTGACTGGGAGAAGCCACATCTGGAAACTGTTCTGGTTGCTCCTGCGAGTCAAGCTGTTCTTTAGAAAGAAGAAATGATTCAGGAAGTTCACGAAGCAAAGATTTATTTTGGTCGTTTGACTGAAGGGTTGTTTTTAAACTCCCTCTCCACTGACTGGAAATACAGTCCTCTTCTCCCTCAGCATCAAGTGTATTTTCCTCATATGATGATTCTTCCTGCTCCACTCCATCCTCCTCCTCCTCCTCCTCTTCCTCACTGAACCGAGTAGTGAACTGCAAGCGCTCAGAGACTGACTGGAGAAGGGAAAGCACGGAAGCATGATCAGAGTTATCTTTGGATATTCCACCAGGACGGCTTTCTGGGGACACATCCGTGGAAAGCAAGTCCTCCTGGGAGCTGTCATCTTCGTAGATGGGAGACAATGAGAAAGGATACACCCTGTAGCGCCTGGCCTCCACACTCAGAAATGACTCCGGGCCACGGCCATCGCTGGCTCCGTTCAGCTTGTTGTCCTGCCCACAGGGACAGGCTGACTCGTGCTCATCCTTGGCTCTTGCACACGCCGGATGGTCCGTATTGTCTGAGGGCAAACCAGGAGAAGGAAGTGATCTGGCTTGCACGTCATCGGTTGAGACGGCTTTATTCTCAGTGTGAAGAGCACCTTCATAAATGATAGTGAAAGAACTGTTTTCCCACTGTTCAATGAGTGGAGAAGAGGCCAAAAGTTCTGTTGGTTCCTTCATGTCATCGTTGCAGTCCAGACCATTTTCTTCAAGCTGTTGGTTTCTCTCCACATCCTGATCGTTCATTTTCACCTGCTTCAGACTCTCATTACGCTGGGCAAAGGCTGTGTTGAAGCACTGTTTCCCTTCACTGTCCTCTCCAGGAACAGACAATTCAGGTACAATGAGCTGTGTATCTAATCCAGTATTAACCTCTGCTCTCTCACTTGCCCCTTCTGCAGCTTCATCTTCACTCTCCACTGCTTTTGAATCTTCTAAGGTTGCTTTTACTTGTGCAGCTCCTACCTCTGCAGCCTCTCTTCTGCAGTGCTCATAAGGAATGTCCTTTGCACTGCTTTCCAGAGACACCTGAGGACTGCTTTTATCTTTGGATTCACTCTGCGTGCCAGTAGATTCTTCATCAGGCACAAAAGATGACAAATTAGCATTTACAGCTGGTAGTAATGTGCATTCTGGCACATTTGTGCTATTGCATGAACCTTTTAACTGCAATGACAAAAGCATTTCTTCAGTCACAGCAGCATCTCTATGTACAAAATGCAAAGATCCATTGGATTTTCCATTCCCTGCTGATGTTCCAGCTGTGCCACACATTTCTGCTGCAGCCACATGTTCACACACCATTCTCTTGTGCCTCTCTTTTGCCGGTGTCATTAGATCTGATTCTGGCCTTGCTAAACTACCAGAGGGAGGAAATCCATTTGCTTGACAAGTAATCGCATTTTTTGGTATCTTTTCATCTCTTTGGGGCCAATCTATGCCATTTGCCACACTATTTAGAAGCCAAGGAGGATCTGAGCAATCTTCCTTTTCACAGCTTACAGTTACACCCCGAGTTTCCTTCATCTCTGTTGGTTCCTGGGTTTTGGCAGGAAACTTTGTATCCAGATTTAAAGTCTTTGGTATTTCAGCCTCAGGTTTAGGCTCAGCTTTTTCAGAAGGCCTTTTACTCTCAGTGCCTTGCCACTGACTGGGTGCCAGTTTTTGTATGGCTGAGTTAATGACTTCCTCAACTGTTTCTTTTGCTTTTAATGCTAGTGCATTATGTAGGTCAATTTTATCAGGGATGCAAGAGAGTGTCTTTTCATCTTGATTATTTGTATCCACTCTTTCATTTCCTGTAAATGAAGATGAGCCTCCTCCACTGCTCTCATTAAAATCTTTTAATGACTGCACAGCTGACTGGATTTCTCCTGCTTCCAGCTGTACAGTTCCAGCTTTCTGATAACTTAGAATATCCCTGTTTACTAAACTATCCTTGCTATAACAAGGCTGGCAGACACCAAAGGCTTGCTTTGCTATTATCTCCTCTGTAGCCAAATGTAAAACCAAACCCACAATCTCTTCAGCTTTCCTAAACAAAGCAGCATCTTGGAGTGCAGCCTGTTCCTGTCCCTTGACACTGGGAGCTCCGCGGTGTCCCTCAGAACAGAGCCCAGCTGACTCTGCAGGTGCACAGGCACCATGGCCCACCTGTCCCCCAGCACCCCTGCACACAGTCCCAGCACGGGCCGGCTCGGATGCTGTTCCCAAAGGTTCCAAAGGACAGCTGGGTGGTGGCATTGCCTCTGCCAGCACACTGCTGTCAGCCTGGGGTGGGAAGGCCTCCTCTGCCCCTTCATGAGCTCTGTGGCTGGAGGAGTTACTGTTCCCCTGAGCAATGCCCGACATCTTCAAGGCAGACACAGAAAGGTTGGAGGCCTCTCTGGACGCCAGAGAAGCTGAAGTGGGCCTGGGGATGTAAACACCCCCTACATTTACTCCATCAGCAGAGCTATCAAGCATAGGTGGAATAATCTCACGTTCTAGAGAACCAGCTGGGCTCAAAGCTCTTGGGTCTCCTGAGCAAGGTGTGCCCTCATTCCTGTTGCCCTCAGGGATGGTTCTCCTAGACTCTGCAACTGGAAGAATAAAGCTGTCCCGTTGAGAAGCAGCAATCTGGCCATTTTCAGAGTTAGTGGCAGAAGGCAGCATTTTTCCTTGGCTGTCAGATGAAGAATCAAGTACTGTGGGTGATATCCTAGGCTTATTGCTGTTTTCCTTCTTGGAAGAAAAATTATTATACCTCTTTTCAGAAACAGGTGGAGATTCAGAAGTGATGCCTACATCACCTTTTTCACAGGTGAAAGCAGAGAAGTTGGTCAGAGGTCTTCCTTCATGTCCCAGGGCAGAACGAGAAACTGCCAGATTTTTTTCTCGTGACTTAGAAATAGGGGATGTAAATTCCAAGATGCAGTCTTCACACTCAGAAGTAATAAGATCAGCCCCAGTCATACCAGTCTTATTGGTTTTAGAACTAGCAGGAGTATGATTGATTAAAGGGCAAGGTGCAGTGTTATCCTCCACGAGTGTAAGTGTCTTGGTAGGACTGTCTTCAATAGTTTCAAGAGAAAGAGGACCAAGGTTGTGAACAGGAATAGTGTTTTTTGAGAGGGTCATATCCACAGTCTCAAAGGATTTGCTCTTCTCATATTCAAGATCAGGATGAGAAAGTGTCTCTCTGGAACCTTTTAAGCTGATTTCTCTTTTCCCCCCAGTTTTATTTTGGAACCTGCAGGTCGGATGAAGGGAAGCTGAGCAACAGCCTCCAGTTTCAACAGAAGACTTGGAAGTTACAGAGAGAGGTGCTGTCAGCTCATCCAAATTAGTTTTCACACTCTGACACCCACATAGGCATGGTGATACATTGGCAACATTTTCTACTGCAACCTCAGATAAAACCTTCATTGTTTCCACACCCTCAGTCTCTAGATGAGGTAAACCAGGCTGCTGTGTGATAGTGTACCTGGAATTCTGCACATGGATTAACTTGTGACCATTTTGTACATGCACTGGTCTCCCTAAGTCACTCGGTTCTTTCCAAGTCTCCCTGCCCATGCCTCTGCCTTCATCATGCCCAGCAGATGACACTGAAGTCCTCAGATCACCTGTGGCCACACACTTTTCTCCGCTGGATTCCACGCTAAGCGAAGCGGGTAGTTGTTCATTAAAAGGTAAAAGCATAGCAGCAGGAAAGTCCCGTGGATTTTGCTCTCTTTCTACAGTTGCCACAATTTTCTGTGTATCACTTTTTCTTGGATCACTGCCTTTGTTTGCACTACCAGTTTGCTGATCTGCCTCCTGCTGAAATGTAATGGTACCGAAATGAAGCATCTGGACACCCAACAACCGCTCCGAGTGATTTTCCAGTTGATGATTACGGCAAAGTCCTCCCTTACCCACCTGTAGTTCTTCATTAAATGTCTTACTTTTTGACTTGGATGAACGTAAACAATTATCCTGTATTTCTTTTGGGGACTCCTTATTAGCTGCTTTACTACAATCCTTTTCTTTATCCAAGTTAAAAGTGGCATTTTTGTTTGTCTGAAAGAGAGCTTCTGCTTCTCCTGGCGATCCATCTTCTTTTCCACTCAAGTCATTAGCAGAACTCACTTTGAGGGAAGGAGTAACCCGGGAAGTGGAATTGGTTGGGATCTCACCGTTTCTGTTGCTAAATGACAACAATGAATCAAGTGAAAACGTCCTTTTAACTTTTGCTGCAGCTAAAGCAGGTTCGTGTCTTACATCGGGCTCATGACACGGTCCAGTGGATGATGTTGTGGCCTTTGCAGTTATTTCATGTTTACTTCTCCCCAAGCCATGCTGAGCTTTACCAGACTGTTTGCTTCCCCCTCTAAGGGCAGAAGGATTTAATGCTGCACCACCTTGGGGATCTTCACTCTCATCTCTTCCATCTTCTTTTACTGGGCATCCTGATTTCAGAGACGGAGTTCTTTGGATTTCTCCATTTTCTTTGACCATTGAAACATTTCTATTCTCAGGATTTTCTTCTCCTTTCCCAGTAACCTCTGACTGACTCTTCAGCAGCTGCCTGATCCTTGCAGAACCTCGATACGTTGCATAGGTGACCGCGGGTGCTTCTGCCTTCCGTCGCGTGTGCCTGGAACAGGGATCACACTATCAGCACAAGAGAGACTATCTCAATAGTTCTATGATAATACAGGTTAACACAAGCTGTAGATTATATCTACAAACTTGAACTTATGCTAAACTGTAGATTATATATAAACAATAGTGTTTACCTGCACAGGTTGGCACAAACTGCAACACTGCTTTCACTCCTTCTTCTGCTCTTCCTAAATATGGGTTTGTAGGACAGATGATACATAAACACCTCTTACTGAAAAGCCAACTTAAACTACAAGCAAAGAATAGATGTTGCTGTAACCAACTTCCCTCACTTGTTTTCGACCAGACAACAGAGTTACCACCTACAAATGTCCAAGTCAACATTTCAGTGACAGAAACGAGCACGCTTTAGTGAAGATGTTATGTCCTACTTAAGCAGGTCTGTACATGGACACTGAAGAAAATGCACTGTACTAATGTTCATTCAAATATGGAATCGAAATTTAAATTTTTACCCAAGCTCTCAACATACTGTTAGGAAACAGAATGAGGAGAAACAAAAACTGTGGAGAAAAAAAAAATACACAACAGTAGATGCTTTTTTGAACCAGAGGGTAGTAAGGAAATAGAGTGCATGGAGATCAGGTAACCATGAAGACTGTTTGAATGCTGGAAGGAATACTAAAAAGAGAAGCCTAGAAATGTAACCAGGAGTTGATAGATCTACATGTTCATCAGTCTTAAATATAGCAGTAAAAACCACTGAATGCAAAAACTAAGAAATGAAAGAACAGCCATGGAAGAACTGTGATCCTGATCCCTCACTGCTCTTTCTGATAATACCAAGAATAAATTCAGAGCCTGTCACTTTCCATTTTCTGAAGAAGCAGTTTTTCCTCTTTCTTTAAACAAGCAGACAGCACAGTAACTCACCTTTCTTTCTAATGCTTCTCTCTTCCCCCCCCCCCCATTTTTTGGTCTGCTAAAGAATTATTGCAAAAATCAGTCACTGTCAGCTTTTCCATTCCCT